CTCATCAAGACACTTTCTTAAGATGAAGAATGTTTTATAAATTATAATGGCTTTAATCAGCACCCTCTTTGAAGCTATTTAACTCCATGATGTAGCCCAACCAGTGCTTCAATTATGTCATTTATCGACTCTGTATTAATTATCATTCTAGAGATTGATTTATATACTTTTTCACAGCTCTCTTGCCAGATGGTATAGCATTCTCCCTGATGCTCCATAAACATCACCTGGACTCACTCATCTCTCTCCCCAGCTGAATGTTTCATCAAGTCTTAGTCATCTCAAACTGATTGCTCCTCTTCCTCCTCCTCACTGCACTCTATCAACACAGTACACAAAGGCGAGGTGATGTAAAACATAAGCCCATAGTATTCACAAAGCCAGGCTCTCTAAAAAACTCATTCCCACCTCAGTGAATTTTTACCCAGTGTGGGGACACAAGTTTCACAGGAAAGTAAAGTGAGAGCTTTTTGCTTCCTTGGCTGATTAAAACTTATGGTCTGTTCAATTATCTGGGGTAATGGAGAAAATAACTAGAAAAAAATCATATTTGGCAATGGGAGTACAACAGACAATTTGGCCTCAGTAGAGCTACCTTCTGAATTATATTTAACTTGGGCTAATATAAAAATTACTTTGCATTCTTGAGCTTGCATGCTAAGAAAGCAGGAGGCAGAAGTCCCAAGGTGCACTAAATTGCAAGGAAGCCAGTCTAGAATTTTAAATTGCCTTGGGTGATCCAAATGATGGATAATAAAGAAATGGAAATGGTGAACTGATTTTCTCACAAAATATAAAGATCTGATTAATGGAACTATTTTACAGTCACCTCAAGTCAAAATGTCTGACAACCAAACCATACCATATTCCTAGGTGGAATCAATTATCACCCATGCCCATGGAGCTAGGGGTTTCAGCAACTCAAAACATCGTTGTGCAAAATACATATGTATGCACATGTGTACATATGCAAGTACACATATATAAAAAATCTGGCATATTGAACACCTGGATATTTTCTTCCAAATACTGATCAGAGTGCCCTAAAAAGATCAAGTTATTTTAAGCTCATTATACAGAAGTTACACAGAGTTTGGTAGAGAGCACTAGGAATTGAGTCACCTGGTTTGTTATCAGACCTCTGCCAGAATTTACTCCACAACCTCAGAAAAGCTCACTCTTTAAACACACATTTCTAGAATTCTCTCCTATGTATCAAACATTATATCAAACATTATGCTAGTTGTTATTATGGTTTTATATATATATATATATATATATATATATATATAAAACCAATCAATATTTTTCTGGAAATATTGATATAGTGTATAATCAGGCTTGGGGGCAAACAGGACAGGTTTTCATCAAACTCATTTTCCTTTCACTCTGTGCATAAAGATAAACCAAATTTTCCAGTCTTCACATTCTGGCCAGTAGAGTGTGAGCAAAGTGAGAAAGTGAGTATGCTATATCCAAGCCTTGGTATGAATAACCATGTAAACCTGCCTCTTGGCAGTCGACTCTATCTCCTTCTCTTCCAGCTGGATGCAGAGGACTTTGAGATTCCAGAAGTGTAAGGCACAAGATGGAAAGGAGCATATGACTACCTAATACACTTCCCTGGAACTATTATGTGAGAAAGAAAGAAGCCTCAGTTGTGTGAAGTGACTGAGGTGTAAAGTTGTTTGTTACAATAGTTAGTCTATCCTACCAAAGCATGAGCCAAAACTACCTCCAAAACATTATGACATAGGATTACTTGAGAACAGCAAGAAGAGGTTGGTCACCTGAGCTGCAGCTGGATATAAGTAAGGAAGAGCACCCCAGAGGAAGAAACACCTAAGATGAGTCTTGAAGGAAAGCATATGACAGTGAGAAAGGGAAGCGAGATAACAGAGATAAAAGTATGCAGACTCATGAGACTCTGAGGGAATGTGGTACATTGGGAAAGTGTTGGTGATTCCTGATCCTGGAAAGTGGAGTGCTACTGAGAATTTTCGCTACACAGTATCTATTTGTTGAAATGATTGTTACAGAGCAGAACCTTAGAGATTCAACAGCTTCTAGAAATGAGGGACAAGGGAAGAGAAAAAGCATAATCAAAGACCATCTGACTTAAAAGATAAATTTTATTTTTGAGATAAAAAAATGAAGGAGAAAGAGGTGAACAGATGGATGAGTCCAATTTTGAAAAGACTAAAACTGAGATAGCTATGGACCATCTAAAAGAAGAATCTATAAGCAGTTGGATATATGGGCTTAGAGCTCATGGAAGTGGTATGGATGGGAGAGGCAGGCTTGAAAATTGCCACAGTATACATGGGGGTGGAAGCCATAAACATGACGGCAATGCTCAGGTAGAACATTCAGAGGCAGAAGCCAGAGAAATCAGAAAGGAAAAGGAAAGGAGAGAGGGAGGATGAGAGGCAGAATTGGGAAGGAGATGATGGAGGGAGGAATGAAAGGAGAGATGGCGGGGGGGGGAGAAGAGAGAGAGAGAGAGAGAGAGAGAGAGAGAATGTACTAATATGAAAAAGAAGTCATAGGAGCCGAAGAGAAGAAATATTGAAAAAATAGAGTAGGTCAATAGCACCAAGTGCATCAGAAAGGTGAAGTGCTAGCCTGAAAAGTTCACTGTATTGGACAACTAGGCAGCTATTTGTGATCTTCACAAGTTCATTTTCAATACCAGAAAAACTACATTAAGAGAATCTGCAGAGCAAGTGAGGGAAGAGGAATTAAAGACAGAAATATAGAACACTCCTTAAGGAAACTTGGTTCTAAAAACAATTAGCTGAAAGTGAACAAAGAGATAGTTTATTTTGTTTATTGCTTTTACTTTTCAGGAAGCAAGACTTAAACATGTTAAGGTGTCTGATTCTCTGCACTTTTGCTTCCCTGTCTATTAAGTGGGGGTAATAATGCCCCATCCGTACGGCTCTTCAGGTTGTCACAACAAATAGGATGATGTATGTGAAAGATTCTAAGGTGCTACACAAAGGCCAAGGCTACTTTGCATCTATGAATGTTCAAAGAATGGAGTTATGAAGGTAAGAGTCCAGGGAAATATAGTCAGCTAAAAAAATCAGTGAAAAATTACTATCAGTCTAGATCTAGAACATCAAGAAAAAGTTATTTTTACACATTATAAATTGTTGACTCCAAACCTTAGAGGCTAATATTTTCAAGTCCCAGGCTGGACAATTCCTACTCCCGGGTAGTAGCCTGGGTTTCCAGGCATCTTATCCAGTCTTCATAATGCCAGGAAAAAAATACCAATGAATCCTGGCAGATCACTGTGCATTAAGTCATCTGGGAATTTATTAGTCTATGAGTAGTAGTTCTTAAATAAAGATTTCTGGCAAGCCCTCATTTTCACAGAGCAATAGATTAACTCCATAATTTAAGCCTCATGACCAGTGAAATCATGGCAAATGGCCACAGCTTGCTGAGTATGTTATTCCAAGGGGTAGCTGAGGTATTCTGGGAAGTAAGCTAGCTGTTTTAGGACTTCCCTGCTGGGAAGATTAACCATCCAAAAGAATATGGTCCAAACATTATTTCACTTGTCACAAAACCTTTAAAGACTTTATAAGGAACATTATTTTTAGCACCATGACACCAGTGTAACTAGGTTTTCTCTCATAAAACTCCTAACAAGTGGTTTTAACATGCCCTATATTCCTCCCCTGGGAAGACATCTTATCCCTAAAGAAGGATTTCTCAATCCTTGCCTCTGCTCATCTCCACAACTCCTCTCTGACTGGGTTTCCTACTTGCTGACATCTCTTCCTCAGTGATTTTATTTCAGGGGTGTACTATAGAGTGCTAATTAAGGTCAAGCAGCTTGTCTTCAGCTCCAAGCAGCAATTGTGCAAAATAAACTGTCCTTTACAATAAATACTAAAAACCCAGTCCTGGGTTTTTTGCCTCAGACTGGGCAAAATATTAATACATTAATACAGTGCTTCTTTTATCTATATTTTTCAAATATTTTATCCTTAATGTGTGACACTGCCACATATAGGTATTAAACTAGGTCAAATGTCTACAGGTCAATTTTTAAAACTTATCCACTGCAACGCTAAATTTCTTTCTAGGATTAGGATTCAATAAAGCACCTTGGCTTGGCACAGTGGCACGTGCCAATAGTCCCAACTACTCAGGAGGCTAAGACAGGAAGATTGCCTTAGTCCAAGAGTTCAAGGTCAGTTAGGGCAACATAGCAAGATTTTATTTCAAGGAGGGAGGGGGGAAAGGCAGGCAGGAGTAAACCTTTTTAAAAAGTTAAAAATAACAATGAAATAAAGCACCTTGGCATTTCCTCAACCAGGATTACAAAGAAGAAGGCAAGTCTCATGTTGACCTGAAACAATACCACCGAGCATTTACGCAGACCTTCACAGATAATCAAGTATTTTTTGTAAGTTTATTTCATTTAATCTTCAAATAATTGTGTACCTTTATTATTCTTCATCACTTGTCAATACAAGAGAATTATGAGGCCCAAAGAAGTTTAAGAAACATAGTTGTTCAGGAAAAGAGTCAGATCAATATCTAAGGTTCTCTAGGGTTCCCCATCTCTTTCCATGATACCAAAGACGGTCCCCATCATGCTACCACTCTATTTTTATTTCACTTCTCTAGCAACATGGAAAACAGCCTGGTTTCCTCTGAAGTCATTAGGAATCTTTGATGAAACACAGACATGAACTCTGTTCTTCCTCCAATGAAAATACATAACATATTAGTTACATAAGAAACATTATGGGGTCATTGTAAATGTGCAAAGCTTTTTAAAGGAATGCATAAATGATGCTTGGAATCCTGAGAAGGCCAAAGAACATATTACAAACAAATGACCAAATGTGAAATGAGGGGAATTCCATGAACAATCAGTATTTTCATTTGACTGATTTGTTTTTACTTCACAAGGACTTCTCTTTCATGGAAAAGCATCATTTCTAAAGAAATTTCAAACAAACACTATAACTAACCTGTAGATGGAGAAGGAAGCCACTGATCGAATAAGGGATGCCAAAGCCCCCACCTTGGCAGCTTCCACAGCCCCCCGGACTCGGTAGTGTACCGTCATCTCATAGTTGATGTAAGGTTGGTTATAAACAACGATCTTCCCTCTCGCTTCTGAAGCCCTTCTCTGCAGTTCATCGAAAGAGGTCACCACGAGAACTTCCGCTGTAATGCCTAGAAATAAAAGTCAAACAAGAGTTAACTTATGGCTTCCCATCAGCCAGGTGGAATTGGCACACAAAAGGTCACACATGCTCTGTCTGCTACATCTGGCAAACTGGCTTGAGAAGATCAAAGTTTTAGAGCAATTTACCATGGGAGAAAGACTGTGGGGTTAGCCAGTTTCCCAAGAGGGAGAAATAATACAATGTACGACTCAAGGTTTTTCAGTTTATTTGGCCAGCTGGAATTAAATCATGAATTGCTTGAAAATACAGCTTCTTTTTCTTAATTCTTTCCCACCCTAAGAAGTCATGAGTTTCACAAAATGACATTAATTATTTTTTTTAAAATTGCATCTCACAAAGCTTCTCTTGGGATTAATAAAGCACATATTTATCTTTGCATAAAACTATTTTGATATGTTGCTAAACAACCTTCAATGACATCAAAGGATGGCAGTTTGGGAACAATACTCTTAGAATCCAATGTTCTTCATAAATTCAACTTTTAACAAATGTTTAATGTACCTTCTCCCAAGAACCACAAAAAGTCAGCTTGTTTCCTTTCCCCTTTTGTATAAAAACACTCTTAAGGGTGTGGAAACGTCCCATGCTTCTCCATTTACAGAACTTATTCATCACCAAATGTATCACTATTGTTCAAATAGCAATTTCTAACATGTTGCATAATTGTCCTAGAAGAATCCTGTTGTCTTGGTTAGATGTGCCTGCTTTCTTCATCCCACTTTCCCAAAGCTTCCTGATTGAGGAGATGGCTTCATATCTTCTAAGAGTCATTCATAATCTGCCAGAACACCAAAGATCCAATTTGATAGAGTAGTTAGAGGGACAACGAAAAAAAATTAGCAACAAAGGCCAGATGTAGTGACTAAATATAACTAAAAGAACATAGTACATGCCTACCATTTTGTGGCGTTAGCCATGTAGGCATGAAATACGTCAGTAAAAACTGAAATATCAACATATATTTGTCTGACTTTCTTAATATTGCAAAATAGAGAATTAGTTTTTTTCTGGAAGCTTAAAAGATGTCTTTAAAATGTTAACTGTTACATAGAAAATCCTTTTAAAATATACTTCAAGTACTACAGAATTCCTGCTTTCAATATAGGCCCCATCATAGTGGGCCCTTTGCGCTGGCTCCTCTCCAACTCTTGGTTCTACCATTCTTCGTTTACTTTAAAATGATTAGCTGTAAATCAATAAGCATGTCTCCACCAACATTCAGAACTCAGCACTTAATTGATAATCTAAAAAAAAAAAAGCAGCATACAATTATGGAAAGTAAGGAAAGCACCAGCTTTTTCACATGATAAATATTCATAAAATACAAATAAGGACTCAGATAGACAGATTTTGAGATTCATAACTTTCTGAAACCTGGAATTACCTTGAAATTTGACTGGTGTTATTGTTGGCATAGTACAGGAATTTTGCTGATGGTTTTCAGCTGTTCTTAATGGATAACAGGTTCAGTGGTCCACCCAGGGGATGTTCCGGCAATGGGGTAATTTTGGTGTCTGGATGAGAGCCACTAAAAACGAAGCCAATTTCTATAAATTTTCAAAATTAAAGTCATACAAGGATGGTACTTTGCTTTGGTCTATTCTTCAAATTCTTTAAAACTAATGAGACAATAGAGTCCTGAAGAACCAAAACCTAACCTAGACAGCACAGGTGCCAATGCAAATCACTAGTAGTATCTAGAGGTCCATAACCATGACCTTGGAAGAAGTGTTTGAATTAGTCTGTTTCCCTGAAACCTGAGATTCATCTCTGACTCCTGTCTCCTCCATGCCCCACATCTAATCAATATTCAAATACCAATAATTTTATTCCTTAAAATCAGTATTTATTGAACCCATGTCCTGTGTTCTATGCCATTTCTGTTTCTCATGTCAGGCCTTCATTACCTCTCTTTCGAATTTTTACAAGTCCCTTCTCCCTAACCCTCTCATCCCCACTGCCATACCAGCCTCCAACCTCCAGTCCAGCCTCCTTAAATTTAACCTCTTCAGAGTAGAAGACTACTTGAGCTGATGGCACCATCACCCTGCCCCTTTCCCACCTCTGCTGAAAACTCATCTTTCAGCCTATCATTCAAAGCCTTCCTACCGAGACCAACACTGACTTCTTTTTATCTTAAACTTCATCAAAACAAAGCTTAAATGCTCCCACTCTCATCCCATGCTATTCTGTTCCTCACTGTCTGATCATGCTATGGTACATCCTGACTTACTGACCCCATTCTCCTAATTTCATCTTATGACTAGCCCATTTATCACTTAAAATCCCATTCAAGAATCATTGCATTAGGGAACATTACCTGGTCTCCTGTTTCTTGTAACACCCAAACACACAGTCTCACCCCTGGGAAGACTGGAACATTTCCCAGCATCCTCCACACGTTCAGGGTGCCCTGAGCATACCAGGGAACTAGATAAATGGAACTCCACTTACGGCTTTTTTTCTACTGCCCAATCAGTGATCTCCTTGGGATTTGGGACCATGTTTATTTTTATTTGTATCTTTCAGGACTAACACAGTGTATGCAGTTGGTCATTAAACAGTCCTGGGTGGCAGGACTAAAGCATTTCTAGGAGAGTGCAATGCTTGCCTTTAAAGTCTGATAGCCCTTCTCCCACAGGAACTCAACAGTCTGATTCCTTACCACCCAGAGTACAACTGCAAAACAATAACCAGCAAAAGAAGCACTGGGCCATCAGAATGTAAATATAAATTCCATGTATGGAAACTCAGGTCTAGAACATCAGAAAGCTCTCTTCTGATCTCATTTATAGCCTGGTTACCCCTACTTTACACAAAATTGTACATCTAGTATTTAAACCTGTAAACTATGAGAAACAACAAATCAAAAGAAGATAGGCCTGAAAACTGGCAGCAGCACCAGAAAAAAAAAAAAAAAGCAAAGTCCGAGATAGAAACATACAAAATAATAAGCAGCAATAGAACTTCCTGCAGTGATGGCAATGCTCTGTATCACTGCTTCTAAACACAGTAGCCACTAGTCACATGCAGCACTGAGCACTTGAAGTGTGACCAGCTGAATTTTTAATGTCATTTAATTTCAATTAATGTCTATTTACATTTAAACAGCCACATGTGGGTGAACTCACAGACACTCAGGGCAGAGTCAATAGCTGAGAGCAGGTCTGCCGGCCTTGAGGGACTTGCCTAATGAAAGTACAGTGACAGATGTGAGTCACAATGATAACCTCATCCAGAGGTCACAGACCAGGTGGACCATATACATAGTCATCACATGGGAAGACACAGCGTGTACACAACATTGTAGGAAAGATGTTTGCTCAGACTAGATAAAATAAAACCAGGCCATCTGGAAAACTTCACCCTTCTATATGAGGCTATGTTTTGACAAGTTACACCAAAGCAATACTCATGCTCTCCTACAAATCAGGCCACTACTCTTTTTCACTCTCATCTCTCTTCTTCCCATCCTTCCACTCTGAAAAGTTGGCTCGTGAAAATTTCTAAGAACACAAAATTAGTACCATGTTCACAATAAGGTCCACCCTGAAAATTCTATTCATCATTGCAACATACCCCCAACCTCTTATTTCTTTTAGTTTCCTTACTTTTTCTACAGCCTTTAACAGCACACTGTTCTACCCACTGTAGTAATGTAAGCTAAGTGAGGGAAGGGTGGTAGAAACTTTTGCCTGTTTCATTCATTACTCTACCCAAGTGCCTGGTGCATATATGTGAAATGCATGCATACATTTATGCACATGTATGCACACACACACTGAATGAAAAGAAGCCTGCATATAAATATAAGTATCACCTTCCAAAAATGCATTTCCAAGAAACTTGCATATTTCTGCAGATCAAAATAATTAATATTAATAGCTGTGTATATTAATTTAAGCACCTATGGTTTATGCTAATTTCCACGGCAATTCTGGAATACAGTTTTTATGGGGATACTAAGGTGCCAAGAATTATATTTACATAGTTATTAGGTGTTGAAACTGAGCATGTTTATTGCGGCACTATTCACAATAGCCAAGTTATGGAAACAGCCAAGATGTCCCAGCACTGACGAATGGATTAAGAAAATGTGGTATCTATACACAATGGAATTTTATGCAGCCATGAAGAAGAACGAAATGTTATCATTCGCTGGTAAATGGATGGAATTGGAGAACATCATTCTGAGTGAGGTTAGCCTGGCTCAAAAGACCAAAAATCGTATGTTCTCCCTCATATGTGGACATTAGATCAAGGGCAAACACAACAAGGGGATTGGACTATGAGCACATGATAAAAGCGAGAGCACACAAGGGAGGGGTGAGGATAGGTAAGACACCTAAAAAACTAGCTAGCATTTGTTGCCCTTAATGCAGAGAAACTAAAGCAGATACCTTAAAGCAACTGAGGCCAATAGGAAAAGGGGACCAGGAGCTAGAGAAAAGGTTAGATCAAAAAGAATTAACCTAGAAGGTAACACCCACGCACAGGAAATCAATGTGAGTCAATGCCCTGTATAGCTATCCTTATCTCAACCAGCAAAACCCCTTGTTCCTTCCTATTATGCTTATACTCTCTCTACAACAAAATTAGAGATAAGGGCAAAATAGTTCTGCTGGTATTGAGGGGGGGAGCGGGAGGGGTGGAGTGGGTGGTAAGGGAGGGGTGGGGCAGGGGGGAGAAATGAACCAAGCCTTGTATGCACATATGAATAATAAAAGAAAAAAGAAAAAAAAAAAAAGAAACTGAGCTTTGAATTACTGGCTATCTGAATCCAAGGGTCATGCTCCTTCTATTAACTACATTGCTATGTTCTCTCATAAATGTAAAATACATGAAAACAAAAGCTTAATATTTTCATTTTCAAACAACAAAAGGTGAAAAGAAATAGCTACATTAAGATTTTCCTAAACTGCTATCACTTATTTTCCAGGATCTTGCTCATAAATCAGGGGGCCAGGTGAAGTGGCTCATGCCTAT